GAATTAGAAATCCGTACTGCGGATGTGCGGGTGGTATAATGAACAGCCACTCAGAATTAGAAATCGGTACTGCGGATGTGCGGGTGGTATAATGAACAGCCACTCAGAATTAGAAATCGGTACTGTGGATGTGCGGGTGGTATAAGAACAGCCACCAGAATTGCGGCGGATTGCGGGTGGTATAATGAACAACTCGAAATCGGTACTGCGGATGTGCGGGTGGTATAATGAACAGCCACTCAGAATTAGAAATCGGTACTGCGGATGTGCGGGTGGTATAATGAACAGCCACTCAGAATTAGAAATCGGTACTGCGGATGTGCGGGTGGTATAATGAACAGCCACTCAGAATTAGAAATCGGTACTGCGGATGTGCGGGTGGTGAACAGCCACTAATGAACAGCCGGACGGGTGGTATAATGAACAGAATTAGAAATCGGTACTGCGGATGTGCGGGTGGTATAATGAACAGCCACTCAGAATTAGAAATCGGTTGCGGATGTGCGGGTGGTATAATGAACAGCCACTCAAATTAGAAATCGGTACTGCGGATGGGTGGTATAATGCGGATGCGGATGTGGGTGGTATAATGAACAGCCACTCAGAATTAGAAATCGGTACTGCGGATGTGCGGGTGGTATAATGAACAGCCACTCAGAATTAGAAATCGGTACTGCGGATGTGCGGGTGGTATAATGAACAGCCACTCAGAATTAGAAATCGGTACTGCGGATGTGCGGGTGGTATAATGAACAGCCACTCAGAATTAGAAATCGGTACTGCGGATGTGCGGGTGGTATAATGAACAGCCACTCAGAATTAGAAATCGCGGATGTGCGGGTGCGGTATAATGAACAGCCACTCAGAATTAGAAATGCGGGTGGTATAATGAACAGTCAGAATTAGAAATCGGTACTGGATGTGCGGGTGGTATAATGAACAGCCACTCAGAATTAGAAATCGGTACTGCGGATGTGCGGGTGGTATAATGAACAGCCACTCAGAATTAGAAATCGGTACTGCGGATGTGCGGGTGGTATAATGAACAGCCACCAGAATTAGAAATCGGTACTGCGGATGTGCGGGTGGTATAATGAACAGCCACTCAGAATTAGAAATCGGTACTGCGGATGTGCGGGGTGGTATAATGAACAGCCAGGTGGTATAATGAACAGAATTAGAAATCGGTACTGCGGATGTGCGGGTGGTATAATGAACAGCCACTCAGAATTAGAAATCGGTACTGCGGATGTGCGGGTGGTATAATGAACAGCCACTCAGAATTAGAAATCGGTACTGCGGATGTGCGGGTGGTATAATGAACAGCCACCAGAATTAGAAATCGGTACTGCGGATGTGCGGGTGGTATAATGAACAGCCACAGAATTAGAAATCGGTACTGCGGATGTGGGTGGTATAATGAACAGGTAGAAATCGGTACTGCGGATGTGCGGGTGGTATAATGAACAGCCACTCAGAATTAGAAATCGGTACTGCGGATGTGCGGGTGGTATAATGAACAGCCACCAGAATTAGAAATCGGTACTGCGGATGTGCGGGTGGTATAATGAACAGCCACTCAGAATTAGAAATCGGTACTGCGGATGCGGGTGGTATAATGAACAGCCACCAGAATTAGAAATCGTGGATGTACTGCGGATGTGCGGGTGGTATAATGAACAGCCACTCAGAAATCGGTACTGCGGATTAAAGAAAATCGAAATCGGTACTGCGGATGTGCGGGTGGTATAATGAACAGCCACCAGAATTGCGGAGAAATCGCCACCAGAATTAGAAATCGGTAATTAATGAAAATCAGAATTAGTACTGCGGATGTGCGGGTGGTATAATGAACAGCCACCAGAATTAGAAATCGGTACTGCGGATGTGCGGGTGGTATAATGAACAGCCACAGAATTAGAAATCACTGCGGAATTAATGAAATCGGTACTGCGGATGTGCGGGTGGTATAATGAACAGCCACTCAGAATTAGAAATCGGTACTGCGGATGTGCGGGTGGTATAATGAACAGCCACTCAGAATTAGAAATCGGTACTGCGGATGTGCGGGTGGTATAATGAACAGCCACTCAGAATTAGAAATCGGTATAATGAACAGCCTCAGAACTGCGGATGTGCGGGTATAATGAACAGTATAATGAACGGATGTGCGGGTGGTATAATGAACAGCCACTCAGAATTAGAAATCGGTACTGCGGATGTGGGTGGTTAATGAACAGCCATCAGAATTAGAAATCGGTACTGCGGATGTGCGGGTGGTATAATGAACAGCCACTCAGAATTAGAAATCGGTACTGCGGATGTGCGGGTGGTATAATGAACAGCCACTCAGAATTAGAAATCGGTACTGTGGATGTGCGGGTGGTATAATGAACAGCCACTCAGAATTAGAAATCGGTACTGCGGACGTGCGGGTGGTATAATGAACAGCCACCAGAATTAGAAATCGGTACGTGCGGATGTGCGGGTGGTATAATGAACAGCCACTCAGAATTAGAAATCGGTACTGCGGATGTGCGGGTGGTATAATGAACAGCCACTCAGAATTAGAAATCGGTACTGCGGATGTGCGGGTGGTATAATGAACAGCCACTCAGAATTAGAAATCGGTACTGCGGATGTGCAGGGTGGTGGATAATGAACAGCCACTCAGAATTAGAAATCGGTACTGCGGATGTGCGGGTGGTATAATGAACAGCCACTCAGAATTAGAAATCGGTACTGCGGACGTGCGGGTGGTATAATGAACAGCCACTCAGAATTAGAAATCGGTACTGCGGACGTGCGGGTGGTATAATGAACAGCCACTCAAATTAGAAAATCAGAATTACTGTATGTGGATGTGCGGGTGGTATAATGAACAGCCACTCAGAATTAGAAATCGGTACTGCGGATGTGCGGGTGGTATAATGAACAGCCACTCAGAATTAGAAATCGGTACTGCGGACGTGCGGGTGGTGGTATAATCAGAATTAGAAATCGGTACTGCGGATGTGCGGGTGGTATAATGAACAGCCACTCAGAATTATGGATGCGGGTGGTAAATGAACAGCCACTCAGAATTAGAAATCGGTGGACGTGCGAATTGGTATAATGAACAGCCACTCAGAATTAGAAATCGGTACTACGGACGTGCGGGTGGTATAATGAACAGCCACTCAGAATTAGAAATCGGTACTGTGGATGTGCGGGTAGCCACTCAAAATGAACACTGTGGACCGGGTGGTATAAATGAAACACTGTGGCCACTGAACAGAATTAGAAATCGGTACTGGACCGGATGTAGAAACGGTGTACTGTGGGTGGTATAATGAACAGCCACTCAGAATTAGAAATCGGTACTGCGGACGTGCGGGTGGTATAATGAACAGCCACTCAGAATTAGAAATCGGTACCGTGGATGTGCGGGTGGTATAATGAACAGCCACTCAGAATTAGAAATCGGTACCGTGGATGTGCGGGTGGTATAATGAACAGCCCTCAGAATTAGAAATCGGTACTGCGGACGTGCGGGTGGTATAATGAACAGCCACTCAGAATTAGAAATCGGTACTGCGGACGTGCGGGTGGTATAATGAACAGCCACCAGAATTAGAAATCGGTACTGTGGACGTGCGGGTGGTATAATGAACAGCCACCGGATGTGCGGGTGGTATAATGAACAGCCACCAGAATTAGAAATCGGTACTGCGGACGTGCGGGTGGTATAATGAACAGCCACTCAGAATTAGAAATCGGTACTGTGGACGTGCGGGTGGTATAATGAACAGCCACTCAGAATTAGAAATCGGTACTGCGGACGTGCGGGTGGTATAATGAACAGCCACCCGGTAGAATTATGGAAATCGGAAATCGGTACTGTGGACGTGTGGGTGGTATAATGAACAGCCACCAGAATTAGAAATCGGTACTGTGGACGTGCGGGTGGTATAATGAACAGCCACTCAGAATTAGAAATCGGTACTGTGGATGTGAGGGTGGTATAATGAACAGCCACTCAGAATTAGAAATCGGTACTGTGGTGTGCGGGTGGTATAATGAACAGCCACCAGAATTAGGGAAATCGGTACTGTGGACGTGCGGTGGTATAATGAACAGCCACCAGAATTAGAAATCGGTACTGTGGACGTGCGGGTGGTATAATGAACAGCCACCAGAATTAGAAATCGGTACTGCGGATGGGGTGGTATAATGAACAGCCACCAGAATTAGAAATCGGGTACTGGGTGGTATAATGAAACAGCCACTCAGGACGGTACTGTGGACGTGGGTGGTATAATGAACAGCCACCAGAATTAGAAATCGGTACTGTGGACGTGCGGGTGGTATAATGAACAGCCACTCAGAATTAGAAATCGGTACTGTGGACGTGCGGGTGGTATAATGAACAGCCACCAGAATTAGAAATCGGTACTGTGGATGTGCGGGTGGTATAATGAACAGCCACCACAATGAACAGCCACCAGAACGAACAGCCACCAGAAGAAATCGGTACGTGGACGTGCGGGTGGACGAACAGCCACCAGAATTAGAAATCGGCACTGTGGATGTGCGGGTGGTATAATGAACAGCCACTCAGAATTAGAAATCGGTACTGTGGACGTGCGGGTGGTATAATGAACAAGCCACTCAGAATTAGAAATCGGTACTGTGGACGTGCGGGTGGTATAATGAACAGAATTAGCCTATGGACGTGCGGGTGGTATAATGAAGCCTCAGAATTAGAAATCGGTACTGTGGACGTGCGGGTGGTATAATGAACAGCCATGGACATTCATGAATTAGAAACGGTACTGCGGATGTGCGGGTGGTATAATGAAACAGAAGCCTGTGGACGTGCAGGTGGTATATAACGAACAGAATTAGAAATCGGTACTGTGGACGTGCGGTGGTGGTATACTGCGGAATGAAATGAACAGCCACCAGAATTAGAAATCGGTACTGCGGACGTGCGGGTGGTATAATGAACAGCCACCGAATTAGAAATCGGTACTGTGGACGTGCGGGTGGTATAATGAACAGCCACCAGAATTAGAAATCGGTACTGTGGACGTGCGGGTGGTATAATGAACAGCCACCAGAATTAGAAATCGGTACTGTGGACGTACGGGTGGTATAAATAAACAGGTACCAGAATTGTACTGTGGAACGGCCTGGTATAATGTCGGTACTGCGGACCAGACGGGTGGTATAATGAACAGCCACTCAGAATTAGGAAATCGGTACTGTGGACGTACGGGTGGTATAATGAACAGCCACTCAGAATTAGAAATCGGTACTGTGGACGTGCGGGTGGTATAATGAACAGCCACTCAGAATTAGAAAATCGGTACTGTGGACGTGCAGGTGGTATAATGAACAGCCACCAGAATTAGAAATCGGTACTGTGGACGTGCGGGTGGTATAAATGCAAACAGCCACTCACGTGCGGAATTGAACAATCAGTACTGAAATCGGACGTGCGGGTGGTATGAACAGCCACCAGAATTAAAACCACTCAGAATTAGAAAATCGGTTAGAAACTGTGGACGTGCGGGTGGTATAATGAACAGCCACCAGAATTAGAAATCAATTACTGTGGACGTGCGGGTGGTATAATGAACAGCCACTCAGAATTAGAAATCGGTACTGTGGACGTGCGGGTGGTATAATGAACAGCCACCAGAATTAGGAAATCGGTACCGTGAACAGCCACGGGGAAATCGGTACGGGTGGTATAATGAACAGCCACCAGAATTAGAAATCGGTACTGTGGACGTGCGGGTGGTATAATGAACAGCCACTCAGAATTAGAAATCGGTACTGCGGATGTGCGGTGGTATAATGAACAGCCACTCAGAATTAGAAATCGGTACTGTGGATGTGCGGGTGGTATAACGAACAGCCACCAGAATTAGAAATCGGGTACTGTGGAAGTGCGGGTGGTATAATGAACAGCCACCAGAATTAGAAATCGGTACTGTGGACGTGCGGGTGGTATAATGAACAGCCACCAGAATTAGAAATCGGTACTGTGGACGTGCGGGTGGTATAAAGAACAGCCACCAGAATTAGAAATCGGTACTGTGGACGTGCGGGTGGTATAAATGAACAGCCACCAGACCAGGGAAATCGGTACTATTGGACGTGCGGGTGGGTATAATGAACAGCCACCAGAATTAGAAATCGGTACTGCGGATGCGGGTGGTATAATGAACAGCCACTGAGAATTAGAAATCGGTACTGTGGACGTGCGGGTGGTATAATGAACAGCCACTCAGAATTAGAAAATCGGTACTGCGGACGTGCGGTGGTATAATGAACAGCCACTCAGAATTAGAAATCGGTACTGTGGACGTGGGTGGTATAATGAACAGCCACCAGAATTAGGTACTGTGGACGTGCGGGTGGTATAATGAACAGCCACTCAGAATTAGAAATCGGTACTAATGGACGTGCGGGTGGTATAATGAACAGCCACTCAGTGGTACTGTGGACGTGCGGGTGGTATAATGAACAGCCACTCAGAATTAGAAATCGGTACTGCGGGTGGTATAATGGACGTGCGGGTGCGGGTATAATGAACAGCCACTCAGAATTAGAAATCGGTATTGGACGTGCGGGTGGTATAATGAACAGCCACCAGAATTAGAAATCGGTACTGTGGACGTGCGGGTGGTATAATGAACAGCCACTCAAATTAGAAATCGGTACTGTGGATGTGCGGGTGGTATAATGGACAGTGAATCGGTACTGTGTACGGGTGGTATAATGAACAGCCACTCAGAATTAGAAATCGGTACTGTGGACGTGCGGGTGGTATAATGAACAGCCACTCAGAATTAGAAATCGGTACTGTGGACGTGCGGTGGTATAAATGAACAGCCACTCAGAATTAGAAATCGGTACTGTGGACGTGCGGGTGGTATAATGGCCACTCAGAATTAGAAATCGGTACTGTGGACGTGCGGGTGGTATAATGAACAGCCACTCAGAATTAGAAATCGGTACTGCGGACGTGCGGGTGGTATAATGAACAGCCACTCAGAATTAGAAATCGGTACTGTGGATGTGCGGGTGGTATAATGAACAGCCACCAGAATTAGAAATCGGTACTGCGGATGTGGTATAATGAACAGCCACCAGAATTAGAAATCGGTACTGTGGACGTGCGGGTGGTATAATGAACAGCCACTCAGAATTAGAAATCGGTACTGTGGACGTGCGGGTGGTATAATGAACAGCCACTCAGAATTAGAAAATCGGTACTGTGGACGTGGGTGGTATAATGAACAGCCACTCAGAATTAGAAATCGGTACTGTGGACGTGCTGTGGGGCGGGTGGTATAATGAACAGCCTCAGAATTAGAATCAGTACTGCGGATGTGCAGCCACCAGAATTAGTCGGTACCGGTATGCGGGTGGTATAACGAACAGCCACCAGAATTAGAAATCGGTACCTGCGGGTGGTATAATTAGAAATTAGAACGGTACTGTGGACGTGCGGTGGTATAATGAACAGCCACCAGAATTAGAAATCGGCACTGTGGATGCGGGTGGTATAATGAACAGCCACCAGAATTACGTGCGGGAAATCGGCCACCAGTGGACGTGCGGGTGGTGGTATAATGAACAGCCACTCCAGAATTAGAAATCGGTACTGTGGACGTGCGGGTGGTATAATGAAATAAGCCACCAGAATTAGAAACGGTACTGTGGACGTGCGGGTATAACGAACAGCCACCAGAATTAGAAATCGGTACTGCGGATGTGCGGGTGGTATAACGAACAGCCACTCCAGAATTAGAAATCGGTACTGCGGATGTGCGGTGGTATAATGAACAGCCACCAGAATTAGAAATCGGTACTGTGGACGTGCGGGTGGTATAATGAACAGCCACCAGAATTAGAAATCGGTACGGACGGGTGGTAATGAACAGCCACCAGAATTAGAAATCGGTACCGTGGGTGGTATAATGAACAGCCACCAGAATTAGAAACGGTACTGTGGACGTGCGGGTGGTATAATGAACAGCCACTCAGAATTAGAAATCGGTACTGTGGACGTGCGGGTGGTATAATGAACAGCCACTCAGAATTAGAAATCGGTACTGCGGATGTGGGGTATAATGAACAGCCACTCAGAATTAGAAATCGGTACTGTGGACGTGCGGGTGGTATAATGAACAGCCACTCAGAATTAGAAATCGGTACTGTGGACGTGCGGGTGGTATAATAGCAGAATTAGAAACGGTACTGTGGAATGCGGGTGGTATAAATGAACAGCCTCAGGATTAGAAATCGGTACCTGTGGAGGTGCGGGTGGTATAATGAACAGCCACTCAGAATTAGAAATCGGTACTGTGGACGTGCGGGTGGTATAATGAACAGCCACCAGAATTAGAAATCGGTACTGTGGACGTGCGGGTGGTATAATGAACAGCCACCAGAATTAGAAATCGGTACTGTGGACGTGCGGGTGGTATAATGAACAGCCACTAAAATTAGAAATCGGTAGCGGGTGGTAACTGAACGGATGAATTAGAAATCGGTATTTAATGAACGGTGGCATCAAATTAGAAAATCGGTACTGTGGACGTGCGGGTGGTATAATGAACAGCCACCAGAATTAGAAATCGGTACTGTGGACGTGCGGGTGGTATAAATGAACAGCCACTCAGAATTAGAAATGGTACTGCGGATGCGGGTGGGAACAGCCCTCAGAATTAGAAATCAGTACTGCGACGGCGGGTGGTATAATGAACAGCCACTCAGAATTAGAAATCGGTACTGCGGACGTGCGGTGGTATAATGAACAGCCCTCAGAATTAGAAATCGGTACGGTGGACGTGCGGGTGGTATAATGAACAGCCACCAGAATTAGAAATCGGTACTGTGGACGCGGGTGGTAGTAAATGGTATAATTAGAAATCGGTACTGTGGACGTGCGGGTGGTATAATGAACAGCCACCAGAATTAGAAATCGGTACTGTGGACGTGCGGGTGGTATAATGAACAGCCCTCAGAATTAGAAATCGGTACTGTGGACGTGCGGGTGGTATAATGAACAGCCACTCAGAATTAGAAACGGTACCGTGGACGTGCGGTGGTATAAATGAACAGCCACCAGAATTAGAAATCGGTACTGGATGTTGCGGGTGGTATAATGAACAGCCACTCAGAATTAGAAATCGGTACTGTGGACGTAAGTGGGTGGTATAATGAACAGCCACCAGAATTAGAAATCGGTACTGTGGACGTGCGGGTGGTATAATGGAACAACCACCAGAATTAGAAATCGGTACTGTGGATGTGCGGGTATAATGAACAGCCACCAGAATTAGAAATCGGTACCGTGGACGTGCGGGCGGTATAATGAACAGCCACCAGAATTAGAAATCGTACCGGATGGATGGGTGGTATAATGAACAGCCACCAGAATTAGAAATCGGTACTGTGGATGTGCGGTGGTATAATGAACAGCCACTCAGAATTAGAAATCGGTACTGTGGACGTGCGGGTGGTATAATGAACAGCCACTCAGAATTAGAAATCGGTACTGTGGACGTGCGGGTGGTATAATGAACAGCCACTCAGAATTAGAAATCGGTACTACGGACGTGCGGGTGGTATAATGAACAGCCACCAGAATTAGAAATCGGTACTGTGGACGTGCGGGTGGTATAATGAACAGCCACCAGAATTAAATCGGTACTGCGGATGTGCGGGTGGTATAATGAACAGCCACTCAGAATTAGAAATCGGCACTTGTGGACGTGCGGGTGGTATAATGAACAGCCACCAGAATTAGAAATCGGTACTGTGGACGTGCGGGTGGTATAATGAACAGCCACCCAGGATTAGAAATCGGTACTGTGGACGTGCGGGTGGTATAATGAACAGCCACCAGAATTAGAAATCGGTACTGTGGACGTGCGGGTGGTATAATGAACCAACCACCAGAATTAGAAATCGTTACGTGCGGGTGGTATAATGAACAGCCACTCAGAATTAGAAATCCGTACTGCGGATGACGCGGGTGGTATAATGAACAGCCACTCAGAATTAGAAATCGGTACTGTGGACGTGCGGTGGTATAATGAACAGCCACCAGAATTAGAAATCCATACTGCGGATGTGCGGTGGTATAATGAACAGCCACTCAGAATTAGAAATCGGTACTGGACACGTGGACGTGCTGGGGTGGTATAATGAACAGCCACAGAATTAGAAATCAATTACTGCGGACGTGCGGGTGGTATAATGAACAATTAAATCGGTACTGAACGCCACCAGGACGGTGTGGGTGCGGCAATGAACAGCCACTCAGAATTAGAAATCGGTACTGTGGATGTGCGGTGGTATAATGAACAGCCACTCAGAATTAGAAATCGGTACTGTGGACGTGCGGGTGGTATAATGAACAGCCACTCAGAATTAGAAATCGGTACTGTGGACGCGGGTACGGGCATAACGAACAGCCACTCAGAATTAGAAATCGGTACTGTGGACGTGCGGGTGGTATAATGAACAGCCACTCAGAATTAGAAATCGGTACTGTGGACGTGCGGGTGGTATAATGAACAGCCACTCAGAATTAGAAATCGGTGGGACTGGTGGACGTGAACAGCCACCAGGTGGTATAATGAACAGCCACCAGAATTAAATCGGTTATGCGGCGGAAATCGGTACTGTGGACGTGCGGGTGGTATAATGAACAGCCACTCAGAATTAGAAATCGGTACTGTGGACGTGCGGGTGGTATAATGAACAGCCACCAGAATTAGAAATCGGTACTGTGGACGTGCGGGTGGTATAATGAACAGCCACCAGAATTAGAAATCGGTACTGTGGACGTACGGGTGGTATAATGAACAGCCACTCAGAATTAGGAAATCGGTACTGTGGACGTGCGGTGAATACCAATCAGAACAGCCACTCAAATTAGAAATCGGTAGAACTGCGGATGTGCGGTGGTATAATGAACAGCCACTCAGAATTAGAAATCGGTACTGCGGATATGCGGGGTGGTATAACGAACAGCCACCAGAATTAGAAATCGGTACTGTGGACGTGCAGGTGGAACAATGAACAGCCACCAGAATTAGAAATCGGTACTGCGGATGTGCGGGTGGTATAATGAACAGCCACACCAGAATTAGAAATCGGTACTGTGGATGTGCGGGCGGTATAATGAACAGCCACTCAGAATTAGAAATCGGTACTGCGGTATAATGAACAGCCACCAGAATTAGGAAATTGGTACTGTGGACGTAATATAATGAACACTCAGAATTAGAAATCGGTACCGGACGCGTGGTGGTATAACTGAACAGCCACCAGAATTGTGTACTGTGGACGTGTGCGGGTATAATGAACAGCCACCAGAATTGAAATCGGTACTGTGGATGTGCGGGTGGTATAATGAACAGCCACCAGAATTAGAAATCGGCATGTGGATGTGCGGGTGGTATAATGAACAGCCACTCAGAATTGGAAAAATCGGTACTGCGGATGTGGGTGGTATAATGAACAGCCACTCAGAATTAGAAATCGGTACTGTGGACGTGCGGGTGGTATAATGAACAGCCACCAGAATTAGAAATCGGTACTGGGTGGTGGACCAGAATTAGAAATCGGTGGTGGTATAATGAACAGCCACTCAAATTAGAAATACCAGAATCGGTACTGTGGACGGGTCACCAGGTAGAAATCGGTACTGCGATGTGCGGGTGGTATAATGAACAGCCACCAGAATTAGAAATCGGTACTGTGGATGTGCGGTGGTATAATGAACAGCCACCAGAATTAGAAATCGGTACTGTGGATGTGCGGTGGTATAATGAACAGCCATTCAGAATTAGAAATCGGTACCAGGAAATCGGATGCGGGTGGTATAATGAACAGCCACCAGAATTAGAAATCGGTACTGTGGACGGCGGGTGGTATAATGAACAGCCACCAGAATTAGAAAATCGGTACTGCGGATGTGCGGGTGTATAATGACAGCCACCAGAATTAGAAATCGGTACTGTGGACGGGCAGTGGGTGGTATAAGGAACAGCCACTCAGAATTAGAAACCGGTACTGTGGACGCGGGTGGTATATAATGAACAGCCACCAGAATTAGAAATCGGTACTGTGGACGTGCGGGTGGTGAACAGCCACTCAGAATTAGAAACCGGTACTGCGGATGTGTGCGGGTGGTATAATGAACAGCCACTCAGAATTAGAAATCGGTACTGTGGACGTGCGGGTGGTATAATGAACAGCCACTAAGAATTAGAAACGGTACTGCGGATGTGCGGGTGGTATAATGAACAGCCACTCAGAATTAGAAATCGGTACTGTGGACGTGCGGGTGGTATAATGAACAGCCACCAGAACCAGAAACGGTACGGGACGTGCGGGGACAGAATTAGAACGGGATGCGGCGGTATAATGAACAGCCACCAGAATTAGAAACGGTACTGCGAACGTGCGGGTGGTATAATGAACAGCCACCAGAATTAGAAATCGGTACTGTGGACGTGCGGGTGGTATAATGAACAGCCACCAGAATTAGAAATCGGTACTGTGGACGTGGGTGGTATAATGAACAGCCACCAGAATTAGAAATCAATTACTGCGGATGTGCGGGTGGATAATGAACAGCCACTCAGAAATTAGAAATCGGTACTGTGGACGTGCGGGTGGTATAACGAACAGCCCCAGAATTAGAAATCGGTACTGTGGACGTGCGGTGGTATAATGAACAGCCACTCAGAATTAGAAATCAATTGCTGCTGCGGATGTGCGGGTGGTATAATGAACAGCCACCAGAATTAGAAATCGGTACTGTGGATATTGCGGGTGGTATAATGAACAGCCACCAGAATTGAAATCGGTACTGTGGACGTGCGGGTGGTATAATAATGAACAGCCACTCAGAATTAGAATATGGATGTGGGTGGTATAATGAACAGCCACTCAGAATTAGAAATCGGTACTGTGGACGTGCGGGTGGTATAATGAACAGCCACCAGAATTAGAAATCGGTACTGTGGACGTGCGGGTGGTATAATGAACAGCCACTCAGAATTAGAAATCGGTACTGTGGACGTGCGGGTGGTATAATGAACAGCCCTGTGAATTAGAAATCGGTACTGTGGACGTGCGGGTGGTATAATGAACAGCCACTCAGAATTAGAAATCGGTACTGTGGACGTGCGGGTGGTATAATGAACAATAACTGGAATTAGAACCGTACTAAGCGGATGTGCGGGTGGTATAATGAACAGCCACTCAGAATTAGAAATCGGTACTGCGGATGTGCGGGGTGGTATAATGAACAGCCACCAGAATTAGAAATCGGTACTGTGGATGTGCGGGTGGTATAATGAACAGCCACTCAGAATTAGAAATCGGTACTGTGGATGTGCGGTGGTATAATGAACAGCCTCAAATTAGAAATCGGTACACTGTGGATGTGTGGGTGGTATAATGAATTAGCCACTCAGAATTAGAAATCGGTACTGTGGACGTGCAGGTGGTATAATGGAAATCGGTACTGTGGACGTGCGGGTGGTAACGAACAGCCACTCAGAATTAGAAATCGGTACTGCGGATGTGCGGGTGGTATAATGAACAACCACCTCAGAATTAGAAATCGGTACTGTGGATGTGCGGGTGGTATAATGAACAGCCACCAGAATTAGAAATCGGTACTGTGGATGTGCGGGTGGTATAATGAACAGCCACCAGAATTAGAAATCGGTACCGCGGATGCGGGTGGTATAATAGCAAACCAGAATTAGAAATCGGTACTGCGGATGTGCGGGTGGTATAATGAAACAGCCACCAGAATTAGAAATCGGTACTGTGGACGTGCGGTATAATGAACAGCCTCCAGAATTAGAAATCGGTACTGTGGACGTGCGGGTGGTATAATGAACAGCCACTCAGAATTAGAAATCGGTACTGTGGATGTGCGGGTGGTATAACGAACAGCCACCAGAATTAGAAATCGGTACTGTGGACGTGCGGGTGGTATAATGAACAGCCACTCAGAATTAGAAATCGGTACTGCGGATGTGCGAACAGGTGGTACTGTGGACGTGCGGGTATAATGAACAGCCACCAGAATTAGAAACGGTACTGTGGACGTGCGGTGGTATAATGAACAGCCACTCAGGTTCAGAAATCGGTACCGTGGACGCGGGTGGTATAATGAACAGCCACCAGAATTAGAAATCGGTACTATGGACGTGCGGGTGGTATAATGAACAGCCACCAGAATTAGAAATCGGTACTGCGGACGTGCGGGTGGGTATAATGAACAGCCACCAGAATTAGAAATCGGTACTGTGGACGTGCGGGTGGTATAATGAACAGCCACTCAAATTAGAAATCGGTACTCGTGGATGTGCGGGTGGTATAATGAACAGCCACTCAGAATTAGAAATCGGTACTGTGGACGTGCGTGGTGGTATAATGAACAGCCACCAGAATTAGAAATCGGTACTGTGGACGTGCGGGTGGTATAATGAACAGCCACTCAGAATTAGAAATCAGTACTGTGGACGTGCGGGTGGTATAATGAACAGCCACTCAGAATTAGAAATCGGTACTGTGGACGTGCGGGTGGTATAAATGAACAGCCACTCAGAATTAGGAAACCGGTACTGTGGACGTGCGGGTGGTATAACGAACAGCCACCAGAATTAGAAATCGGTACTGTGGACGTGCGGGTGGTATAATGAACAGCCACCAGAATTAGAAATCAATGTTACCTGAATTAGTGGACGTGCGGGTGGTATAATGAACAGCCACTGAATTAGAAATCGGTACTGTGGACGTGCGGGTGGTATAATGAACAGCCACCAGAATTAGAAATCGGTACTGGTGGACCAGTGCGGTACTGTGGTGGTATAATGAACAGCCACCAGAATTAGAAATCGGTACTGTGGACTGCAAATTAAATCGGACGTGTGGGTGGTATAACGAACAGCCACCAGAATTTACTATGGACTTTGGGTGGAAATCGGTACTGCGGATGCGGGTGGTATAATGAACAGCCACCAGAATTAGAAATCGGTACTGCGGATGTGCGGGTGGTATAATGAACAGCCACCAGAATTAAGAAATCGGTACCGTGGACGTGCGGGTGGTATAATGAACAGCCACCAGAATTAGAAATCGGTACTGTGGATGTGCGGGTGGTATAATGAACAGCCACCAGAATTAGAAATCGGTACTAATGGACGTGCGGGCGGTATAATGAACAGCCACCAGAACAGAAATCGGTACTGTGGACGTGCGGGTGGTATAATGAACAGCCACCAGAATTAGAAATCGGTACTGTGGACGTGCGGTGGTATAATGAACAGCCACCAGAATTAGAAATCGGTGTACTGTGGACGTGGGGGTATATAATGAACAGCCACTCAGAATTAGAAATCGGTACTGGTGGACGTGCGGGTGGTATAATGAACATCCACCAGAATTAGAAATCGGTACCAGAACGTGCAGGTGGTATAATGAACAATCAGAATTAGAACGGTACCACCGGATGTGCAGGTATTGGTATAATGAACAGCCACCAGAATTAGGTATGCGGAAATTGGTATAATGAACAGCCACCAGAATTAGAAATCGGTACTGTGGACGTGCGGGTGGTATAATGAACAGCCACTCAGAATTAGAAATCGGTACTGTGGACGTGCGGGTGGTATAATGAACAGCCACCAGAATTAGAAATCGGTATCGTGGACGTGCGGGTGGTAAACGAACAGCCACTCAGAATTAGAAATCGGTACTGTGGACGTGCGGGTGGTATAATGAACAGCCACCAGAATTAGAAATCGGTACTGTGGACGTGCGGGTGGCAATGAAATGCCACCAGACCAGAAACGGTACTGTGGAATGGTATGAAAACCGGTATTGAAATCGGTACTGTGGACGGGTGGTATAATGAACAGCCACCAGAATTAGAAATCGGTACTGTGGACGTGCGGGTGATATAATGAACAGCCACCAGAATTAGAACGGTACTGTGGATGCGGTGGTATAATGAACAGCCACTCAGAATTAGGAATCGGTACTGTGGACGTGCGGTGGTATAAACGAACAGCCACCAGAATTAGAAATCGGTGGACGGTGGTATAATGAACAGCCACCAGAATTAGAACGGTACTGCGGATGGGTGGTGTATAATGAAACAGCCACCAGAATTAGAAATCGGTACTGTGGATGTGCGGTGGTATAAATGAACAGCCACCAGAATTAGAAATCAAACGGATGCGGGTGAAGGCCTGAACCAGCAACCCGTGAATTAGAACGGTACCGTGGACGTGCGGGTGGTATAAATGAAACAGCCACCCAGAATTGTAAAATCGGTACCGTGGACGCGGGTGGTACTGCGGATGTGCGGGTGGTATAATGAACAGCCACCAGAATTAGAAATCGGTATTGTGGACGTGCGGGTGGTATAATGAACAGCCACCAGAATTAGGAAATCGGTACTGCGGACGTGCGGGTGGTATAATGAACAGCCACCAGAATTAGAAATCGGTACTGCGGATGTGCGGGTGGTATAATGAACAGCCACCAGAATTAGAAATCGGTACTGCGGATGTGGGTGGTATAATGAACAGCCACTCAGAATTAGAAATCGGTACTGTGGATGTGCGGGCGGTATAATGGTGGTCGAATTAATCGGAACGGGTGGTAAAGCCACTCAGAATTAGAAATCGGTACCGTGGACGTGCGGGTGGTATAATGAACAGCCACCAGAATTAGAAATCGGTACTGTGGATAATGCAGGTCAGAATTAGAAATGTGGAAATTAGAAGCCACCAGAATTAGAATCGGTGGACGTGCGGGTGGTATAATTAGAAATCGGTACTGTGGACGTGCGGGTGGTATAATGAACCACCAGAATTAGAAATCGGTACTGTGGACGTGCGGGTGGTATAATGAACAGCCACCAGAATTAGAAATCGGTACCGTGGATGCGGGTGGTATAATGAACAGCCCCAGAATTAGAAATCGGTACTGTGGACGTGCGGGCGGTATAATGAACAGCCACTCAGAATTAGAAATCGGTACTGTGGAAGTGCAGGTGGTATAATGAACAGCCACTAGAAATCGACAATAATGAACAGCCACCAGAATTAGAAATCGGTACTGTGGACGTGCAGGTATAACGAACAGCCACCAGAATTAGAAATCGGTACTGTGGACAGAATTAGCGGGTGAGTGGTATAATGAACAGCCACTCAGAATTAGAAATCGGTACACGGGTGTATAATGAACAGCCCTCAGAATGAAATCGGTACTCGGATGCGGGTATAACAGCCACCAGAATTGAAATGGACGTGGCGGGGGGTATAATGAACAGCCACTCAGAATTAGAAATCGGTACTGCGGACGTGCGGTGGTATAACAACAGCCACTCAGAATTAGAAATCGGTACTGCGGATGTGCGGGTGGTATAATGAACAGCCACCAGAATAGAATCAATTGGACTGCGGGTGGACGTGCAGGAAATCGGTATAATGAACAGCCACCCAGAATTAGAAATCAGTACTGTGGACGTGCGGGTGGTATAATGAACAGCCACCAGAATTAGGAATCGGTACTGTGGATGTGCGGGTGGTATAATGAACAGCCACCAGAATTAGAAATCGGTACTGCGGATGTGCGGGTGGTATAACGAACAGCCACTCGAATTAGAAATCGGTACTGTGGATGTGCGAATTGGTATAATGAACAGCCACTCAGAATTAAATCGGTAACTGTGGACGTGCGGGTGGTATAATGAACAGCCCTCAAATTAGAAATCGGTACTGTGGACGTGCGGGTGGTATAATGAACAGCCACTCAGAATTAGAAATCGGTACTGTGGACGTGTGGGTGGTATAATGAACAGCCACCAGAATTAGAAATCGGTACCGTGGACGTGCGGTATGGTATAACGAACAACCACTCAAATTGAAATGCACTGTGGACGTGCTGGCTGGCCACCCAGAATTAGAAATCGGTACTGCGGATGTGCGGGTGGTATAATGAACAGCCACTCCAGAATTAGAAATCGGTACTGTGGACGTGCGGGTGGTATAATGAACAGCCACTCAGAATTAGAAATCGGTACTGTGGACGTGCGGGTGGTATAATGAACAGCCACCAGAATTAGGAAATCGGTACCGTGGACGTGCGGGTATAATGAACAGCCACCAGAATTAGGAATCGGTACTGCGGACGTGCGAATTTGGTATAATGAACAGCCACCAGAATTAGAAATCGGTACTGCGGATGTGCGGGTGAGTGCAGCGAACAGCCACCAGAATTAGAAATCGGTACTGTGGACGTGCGGGTGGTATAATGAACAGCCACCAGAATTAGGAAATCGGTTGGACTGGTGGACGTGCAGGTGGTATAATGAACAGCCTCAGAATTAGAAATCGGTACTGTGGACGTGCGGGTGGTATAATGAACAGCCACTCAGAATTAGAAATCGGTACTGCAACGAATGTACCCAGGAAATCGGTACTGTAATGGTATAACAGCCACCAGAATTAGAAATCGGTACTGTGGACGTGGGTGGTATAATGAACAGCCACTCAGAATTAGAAATCGGTACTGTGGACGTGCGGGTGGTATAATGCATCAGCCACCAGAATTAGAAATCGGTACCGCGGACGTGCGGGTGGTATAATGAACAGCCACCAGAATTAGAAATCGGTACTGTGGACGTGCGGGTGGTATAACGAACAGCCACTCAGAATTAGAAATCGGTACTGTGGACATTGGCGGTATAATGAACAGCTCAGACCAGAAATCAATTACTGCGGATGTGCGGGTGGTATAATGAACAGCCACCTGTAGAATTAGAAATCAGTACTGTGTGGACGTGCGGTGGTATAACAAACAGCCACCAGAATTAGAAATCGGTACTGTGGACGTGCGGGTGGTATAATGAACAGCCCACCAGAATTAGAAATCGGTACTGCGGATGTGCAGGTGGTATAATGAACAGCCACTCAGAATTAGAAATCGAGGTACTGTGGACGTGCAGGTGGTATAATGATGACCCTCAGGGTAGAAATCAGTACTGTGGACGTGCGGGTGGTATATTGAAGGAGCCACTCAGAATTAGAAATCGGTACTGTGGACGTGCGGGTGGTATAATGAACAGCCACTCAAATTAGAAATCAGTGCTGTATGGACGTGCAGGTGGTATAATGAACAGCCACTCAATTAGAAATCAGTACTGTGGACGTGCGGGTGGTATAATGAACAACCCTCAAATTAAAGAGAAATCAATTGCTGCGGATGTGCGGGTGGTACTATTTGATTACTCAAATTAGAAATCAATTGCTGTGGATGTACGGGTGGTATAATGAACAGCCCTCAGAATTAGAAATCGGTACTGTGGACGTGCGGGTGGTATAATGAACAGCCACTCAGAATTGTGGAAATCGGTACTGCGGATGTACGGGTGGTATAATGAACAGCCACTCAGAATTAGAAATCAGTACGGATGTGCGAACAGCCACTCAAATTAGAAATCGGTACTGTGGACGTGCGGTGGTATAATGAACAGCCACTCAGAATTAGAAATCGGTACTGCGGATGTGCGGGTGGTATAATGAACAGCCACTCAGAATTAGAAATCGTACTGCGGACTGGTGGACGAAATGTACTGTGGCGGTGGTATAATGAACAGCCACTCAGAATTAGAAATCAATTTACTGTGGACGTGCGGGTGGTATAATGAACAGCCACTCAGAATTAGAAATCGGTACTGTGGATGTGCGGGTGGTATAATGAACAGCCCAGAAATCAGTACTGTGGACGTGCGGGTGGTATAATGAACAGCCACTCAATTAGAAATCGGTACTGTGGATGTGGGTGGTATAATGAACAGCCACCAGAATTAGAAATCGGTACTGTGGATGTGCGGGTGGTATAATGAACAGCCACTCAGAATTAGAAATCGGTACTGTGGACGTGCGGGTGGTATAATGAACAGCCACCAGAATTAGAAATCGGTACTGCGGATGTGCGGGTGGTAATGAACAGCCACTCAGAATTAGAAATCAATACTGTGGACAGCCACCAGAATTAGAAATCGGTACCGTGGACGTGCGGGTGGTATAATGAACAGCCACTCAGAATTAGAAATCGGGGACGGGTGGTATGGATGCACTGTGGACGTGCGGGTGGTATAATGAACAGCCACCAGAATTAGAAATCGGTACTGTGGACGTGCGGGGTGGTATAATGAACAGCCACTCAGAATTAGAAATCGGTACTGCGGACGTGCGGGTGGTATAATGAACAGCCACTCAGAATTAGAAAAATCGGTATAATGAACAGCCACCAGAATTAGAAATGGACGTGACGGGTGGTATAATGAACAGCCACTCAGAATTAGAAATCGGTACTGTGGACGTGGGTGGTATAATGAACAGCCACTCAGAATTAGAAATCGGTACTGTGGACGTGCGGGGTGGTATAATGAACAGCCACTCAAATCAGAATTACTGCGGGTGGAAATCGTTACTGCGGATGCGGGTGGTATAATGAACAGCCACTCAGAATTAGAAATCATGTACTGTGGACGTGCGGGTGAACAGCCACCAGAATTGAAATCGGTACTGTGGACGTGCGGGTGGTATAATGAAAAGCCACTAAAATTAGAAATCCATACTGCGGATGTGCAGGTGGTATAATGAACAGCCACTCAGAATTAGAAATCGGTACTGTGGACGTGCGGGTGGTATAATGAACAGCCACCAGAATTAGGGAAATCGGTACTGCGGACGTGCGGGTGGTATAACGAACAGCCACTCAGAATTAGAAATCGGTACTGCGGACGTGCGGGTGGTATAATGAACAGCCACTCAAATTAGAAAAATACTGTGGCCACCAGAATTGAATTAGAAATCGGTACATGGATGTGCGGGTGGTATAATGAACAGCCACCAATTAGAAATCGGTACTGTGGACGTGCGGGTGGTATAATGAACAGCCACTCAGAATTAGAAATCGGTACTGTGGACGTGCGGGTGGTATAATGAACAGCCACTCAGAATTAGAAATCGGTACTGTGGACGTGCGGGTGGGCAATGGCCACAGTGAAATCGGTACTGGTGGATGTGCGGGTGGTAATGAACAGCCACCAGAATTAGAAATCGGTACTGTGGATGTGCGGTGGTATAATGAACAGCCACCAGAATTAGAAATCGGTACTGTGGACGTGCGGGTGGTATAATGAACAGCCACCAGAATTAGAAATCGGTACTGTGGACGTGCGGGTGGTATAATGAACAGCCACCAGAATTAGAAATCGGTACTGTGGACGTGCGGTGGTATAATGAACAGCCACCAGAATTAGAAATCGGTACTGTGGACGTGCGGGTGGTACAATGAACAGCCACCAGAATGAACAGCCACCAGAATTAGAAACCGCGGATGTGCGGGTGGTGGACGTGCGGGTGGTATAATGAACAGCCACTCAGAATTAGAAATCGGTACTGTGGACGTGCGGTGGTGGTATAATGAACAGCCACCAGAATTAGAAATCAATTACTGCGGATGTGCGGGTGGTATAATGAACAGCCACCAGAATTAGAAATCGGTACTGCGGATGTGCGGGTGGTATAATGAACAGCCACTCAGAATTAGAAATCAATTACTGCGGATGTGCGGTATAATGAACAGCCACTCAGAATTGAAATCAGTACTGTGGACGTGCACCAGAACGAACACTGTGGCCACCAGAATTAGAAATCAGCGGATGTGCAGGTGGGAAATGGTACTGTGGACGTGCGGGTGTATAATGAACAGCCACCAGAATTAGAAAATTGTGGACGTGCGGGTGGTATAATGAACAGCCACCAGAATTAGAAATCGGTACTGTGGACGTGCGGGTGGTATAATGAACAGCCACTCAGAATTAGAAATCGGTACCGCGGATGTGCAGGTGGTATAATGAACAGCCACCAGAATTAGAAATCGGTACTGTGTGGATGCGGGTGGTATAATGAACAGCCACTCAGAATTAGAAATCGGTACTGCGGACGCGGGTGGTATAATGAACAGCCACTCAGAATTAGAAATCGGTACTGTGGAAGTGTGGGTGGTATAATGAACAGCCACTCAGAATTAGAAATCGGTACTGTGGACGTGCGGGTGGTATAATGAACAGCCACCAGAATTAGAAATCGGTACTGTGGATGTGCGGGTGGTATAATGAACAGCCACTCAGAATTAGAAATCGGTACTGTGGACGTGCGGGTGGTATAATGAACAGCCCTCCAGAATTAGAAATCGGTACTGTGGACGTGCGGGTGGTATAATGAACAGCCACCAGAATTAGAAATCGGTACTGTGGATGCGGGTGGTATAATGAACAGCCACCAGAATTAGAAATCGGTATCAGTACTGTGAACAGACGAAATCGGCACTGTGGGTGCGGGTATAATGAACAGCCATTCAGAATTAGAAATCGGTACTGTGGACGTGCGGGTGGTATAATGAACAGCCACCAGAATTAGAAATCGGTACTGTGGACGTGCGGGTGGTATAATGAACAGCCACCAGAATTAGAAATCGGTACTGTGGACGTGCGGGTGGTATAACGAACAGCCACTCAGAATTAGAAAATCGGATGTGGACGCGGGTGGTATAATGAACAGCCACCAGAATTGAAATCGGACTGTGGCGGGTGAGTATAATGAACAGCCACCAGAATTAGAAATCGGTACTGTGGACGTGCGGGTGGTATAATGAACAGCCCTCAGAATTTAGAAATCGGTACTGTGGACGTGGGGGTAGCAATGAACAGCCACTCAAATTAAAATCGGTACTGCGGACGTGCGGTGGTATAATGAACAGCCACTCAGAATTAGAAATCAATTGCACTGCGGATGTGCGGTGGTATAATGAACAGCCACCAGAATTTGAAATCGGTACTGTGGACGTGCGGGTGGTATAATGAACAGCCACCAGAATTAGAAATCAGTACTGTGGACGTGCGGGTGGTATAATGAACAGCCACCAGAATTAGAAATCGGTACCGCGGATGTGCGGGTGGTATAATGAACAGCCACTCAGAATTAGAAATCGGTACTGCGGATGTGCGGGTGGTATAATGAACAGCCATCAGAATTAGAAATCGGTACTGTGGATGTGCGGGTGGTATAATGAACAGCCACTCAGAATTAAGAAATTACTGTGGACGTGCGGGTGGTATAATGAACAGCCACCAGAATTAGGAATGATCGCCACTGAATTAGAAATCGGGCGGACGTGCAGGGGTATAATGAACAGCCACCGAATAGAAATCGGTACCGCGGATGTGCGGGTGGTATAATGAACAGCCACCAAATTAGAAATCGGTGATTGCAATGGATTAGAAACGGTACTGTTATGCGGGTGGTATAAGAACAGCCACTCAGGAATTAGAAACCGGTACTGTGGACGTGCGGGTGGTATAATGAACAGCCACCAGAATTAGAAATCGGTACTGTGGACGTGCGGGTGGTATAATGAACAGCCACCAGAATTAGAAATCGGTACTGTGGACGTGCGGGTGGTATAATGAACAGCCACCAGAATTAGAAATCGGTACTGCGGACGTGCGGTGGTATAATGAACAGC